CACTAGTCGTATGTCATTGAATCGGGGCGGAGTTTAACACACCTAGACTCTTTGAAAGACGTCGTGGATCGCAGTAAAACTCGCAGCTTGAAGAATTTCTCTCACGGGAACTGTCACGCTCAACTATTTTGATTGGCACGATGTAGTGTGACAACGAGGAAACCCTAATTAAGACTGATGTACCACTTTCAGCAGTCGCCATTTGATATAATTATTGTTAACCCTTGAGCCTGAAGTCCCCGACCCGACGCGTTCGTTGAGACAAGAGGTTTAACATGATGACAGACAGCATACAAATTGGAGCTGAGAAATCTACTTCACAAGTAAAGTGGTGCGTGTCAAATTGCTTTTCCATGATCCCGCTGATGTGGAAGCGAAGCAAAAAAAAAAAACAACAACAACAACAACAACAACAATCCAAAAAACAATAAATAAATAATAAATAGCCTGACTTAAATAAAATAAAATTATATTATATTTAAAATTTAATTTCTTTTGGTCACACCATGCCACATCGTGCCTGGAATGTATATAAAAAGAACCAAACAGTATTTGCAGTTATTGCCGTTTTTTATTTGTATGAGTCTTTTTATTTTATTTTATAAAATTGCAATAAAAAAAACCACAAGTACATGTATGAGAACTTGAGATGTCATTTTTAAGTGGTTTTGTAATAAGACGCTTCAACTTATCTGTTACATGTATATTATCCCTTTTTCCAATTCTGCCTCACTGCTATTGAAAAGGGAGGAAAGTCTGTTTAAAAAAAGTTCATTTATGGTCATTTTTCTTGTAGACAAATCTCCCCCTCCAGCAAAAAGAAAATGTGGGAGCAGAACTGAAAGATGTCACCCTTAAATTCTCTAGGGTACGGTTAAACTATATTTTTATGTTGTTAATCCGATATTCGATATTAAAACTTGATCATTTCAAGTTGGACCAACTGTAATGAAAAGGGTTTGGCATCCTGATGAGAAAAAATAACAAAAATCTAGATTATGCATGTAATATGAAACTTGAAAGAAGTATCTGGCAAGCACTCATTGTGTGCGAAAAGGTTTCTGACTGTGTCAATAGAGGGCGCTGTTTCTTTCTTTTTTTCTCATACAGAATTTCTGGCGTTTTTAGTATCCAAGATTTTCTGTGGATCGGGGAACAAAGTTTTGGGGATATGGTACATCATAGCCTATACATGTCGGGGAAGTTTTATTAAATTCGGCGGACTAGATCGCCTATCTCGAAAACTAAAGCGTTTTCGGCCTCTCGGCCCACGGACTCTTGTATTACAAAAACGCGGCATCGAAATTGACCAATCACAATCTTAGCCCTGATTAATTACCCATAAGGGACCCATAAGGGTTATCCCCTGTGGGGGGCTTTCCCATATGGGTGTCATATGGGAAAAACCTAGGCAAGCCCATATGGGCCAAAAAATGGTTAACCCATATGGATGTCGTGGGAAAAACCTGGGCAAGCCCATAACACACAACCTCGTCCCCAGGATGTCGAGAAGTACGCGAAATAGTCTGGTGCCTGTGTGTGCGCAACATTAGCGTTGTTTTTGAATGCAGTGTCTGGGGTAAAAACAGCATAAATTCGTCGCGCCGTGAGTTATGAAAACACGAATTTTTTTAAAGCAAAATGTTACAATCTGGCCCGCCAATATGCAGTATCACATTTCATATTAATATGAGCAAACTTGAAAGGAAAGTAGTATTTTTGAGAAGGCGTGGACGTTATAATTACAATAATCGTGAAAACACGTAATGCACGTTGGAATACACAACACCAACTACACGATATATATCCATTACTAGCAAATTGCGGTATCAAATCAGGAAACAGGAAGAAAGTTTGCTATCCAGGTCCGAAATTGCCTACGCCGGCCAAGGGCGGATCCGGGGGGGGGGGGGCCAAAGGGGGCCATGCCCTCCCCCAAATGAAACCATTTTTTTTTTTTTTATGTAACATCGCAATAAAGGCAGCTAATGAGTACACCACCATCTTTTCCTCAAAAAAACATTGGTTAAAGTGGTCAGAAATTGCCTCAGATCGCACCACAGAGCATCTAGAATCCAAATTTTTTTTTGACCCACTTTTTTTTGGGGGGGGGGGGACCAAATTTTTTTTGGGGGGGGGCGCCCCCTAAAATTGTGTTCTGGATCCGCCTTTGACGCCGGCCAAATCACGATTTGCATGCCCTCAAAATCTTCAGTATGTGAGCATGCTGTGGGCCATGAACTTGAGGGTTTGTAACAAAATATGGGTGGAAGCCGTGCACAGGACTGTGAGCTTGTAGTTCAGTTCAATTAGGATGAAATTGGGGCCCTTAAAGCGCTCTATTTTGCAATGGAGTGTAGGCATCGTTTTTCAAAATGGTGATGGGCTTCAGGACTATTTTCAGGGGTGATCATCTTCGGATGGAAATTTCTCCTAAAAGTCATCAGTTGACCCCCCCCCCCCGCAAAAAAATTGAACAGAAAATGAAAGATGATGAATAAGCTCGATTTGATGTGTGTTTCGAACACCTTGGAGAGTTGTGAATATTTTTCCCGAATTTCTGAAGTGGGAGCATTTACCATTGGGGTCTATGGAAGTTTATTTACTGGTCTGCAACCTTTAATTTCAAAATGGCGCCTTCCATCGATTGTTGTCAAATGTGTTCGCCTGCGCTTTACATTCCACGACAGTGTTTTTTTTCGGGGGGGGGGGGGGCAGCGTTTCAAAAGGGGTCACCAATGGCGGTTCCCCAACAAATGCGCCCAAAATCTGAATGGGACCGATGGACCGTCGTCCGATCACAGCAATTTCGAGCGAACAAGGGGGGGGGGGGGGGTAATTTGGGGTTGGAACGAGCAAAAACTCAATTAACTCCCGTTGGGGGCGCCCTACAGCAAGGCAGCCGCAAACAGAGGGCTTGTTTTCAGGCCAGAAATCGCAGTCAGAGATTTTTTTCTCGCAATTATTTGATGAAATATGAGTCATCCATCCTTCCTCGTGCTGTACAAGTGGATTGGGGGAATTTTTCAAAACCTCGCTTCTTTATAAGTTGCAGACCAGTAAATCGGTCCGAAATTGTCTACGCCGGCCAAATCACGATTTGCATGCCCTCAAAATCTTCAGTATGTGAGCATGCTGTGGGCCATGAACTTGAGGGTTTGTAACAAAATATGGGTGGAAGCCGTGCACTGGACTGTGAGCTTGTAGTTCAGTTCAATTAGGATGAAATTGGGGCCCTTAAAGCGCTCTATTTTGCAATGGAGTGTAGGCATCGTTTTTCAAAATGGTGATGGGCTTCAGGACTATTTTCAGGGGTGATCATCTTCTGATGGAAATTTCTCCTAAAAGTCATCAGTTGAACCCCCCCCCCCCCCCCGCAAAAAAATTGAACAGAAAATGAAAGATGATGAAATAAGCTTTAATTTGATGTGTGTTTCGAACACCTTTGAGAGTTGTGAGTATTTTTCCCGAATTTCTGAAGTGGGAGCATTTACCATTGGGGTCTATGGACGTTTATTTACTGGTCTGCAACCATATAGCCGTAGCCTTGATGCCAGCGACGTTCGATTGTTCGCAGATTAATAACTCCAACGCGAGTAGGACGTACGACGTATCATGTATTGTTTTTGTTGGCAATTAAAATGAATGAATGAAGTAAAGAAAGGGGTTGATTTATTTTAAAATTAACGGATAATAATGAAAAAGAAAACTAGGGATCCAATTTTATATGCATACATGTATATGTATATACAGTTAATAAATAAAATGCATAAAATATTTTTCTTTTCTAAAGAAAGTATGTATGTGTATATAAAATTAATAAATTTAGATGCATGAAATAAGTTTTTTTCTAAAGAAAGAAGTAATTCTCCCATTCTTAACTGCTTTATGCACATATCGTCACTGTTTTCACAGAGGGGCGAATATCATGAAAATCGTTTTTCGAAATTTGTTGGTTTTTTTGTGTGTGAAAATGAATAAATATATCAATACCTACAACCTGATGAGGCTATACTTTCAAACAATTATTTAAAATCTTAATTGACCTAACTAGTGCAGGGCCAGTCGTAAATGTGCCTGTTCGGAAGGGGCAGTTGAGAACTGCAGCTTGTGCAAACAACGCACATTATTCAATGGTGTGAAACGCACACTCGCAAATTAAACGCACACAATGTCGTCATCCCCTGGCACTGATATTTACCCCTACTGGACAATATGGTATCGCCCTACAGTAAGAGTTGCTCAGTCGACCGCCTACATACAGTGCAGTGATGGTTGCTCAGTTGACTACAAAATGCATGTGCCCGTGCATACCACTCGATCACGTATATGCACGTACGGAGACATGGTGTGCAGTGCCATTCACTCATACTGCACAATGGTATCGCCCTACAATGTGCCCGTTCTTTTCTCATTGTTGCGAAGTCTAGTATTGAGCACGCGCGCTTTAGCTCAAAATGACGTAAACAATTGAAAAAGACGGCAGCGCATGGTGGTCTGGGCTATAATACTGGCACATTTGCCTCAGAAAATAATATTTTTTTGCAGCTTTTTCGAGAACCGCTCGTCCAAACAACTTCAAACTTGACACTGCACATTCTGTGGTCCCGAGCAACACATCCGCCGATGTTCAACTGCATACGATACCCGGTTCTGGAGATAATCGATGTACAGACAGACACACACACACAGATTCCTGGAATTATAACAACGACAATTTAGGTCTCAAGTCTGTTGTCTTTCTTTGTCTTCCATTACTGAGCTGTTTATCGTCGACGACGTTGAAGGCCACAAAGAGGTTTACCAGCACAAGCCAATGATAGTAACGCACTGGCATACATTATAATGACCAGTGCGCTGCTGGTGAAGGTAATTTTGACACGCGGACGAGCACAATCGTTTAACAGTGCATGATAATGTACAACATCCCGGCCATGCTTGTCGCTAGTTGTAGGACTTCAAGAGTGTAACTTTTATAACTGATGAGCTGGACAATAAGGTTACGTGCGAACTATGCTTTATTTGATCTTTAAAGTGACCTTACATAAAATAATACAACACAAAACACAAAATAATACAACACAAAATAATACAAAATGGAGTGCCTTTCCCACAAAGCGGTGGAGTGTTTTTAGATTATAAGTTCTTAATTACCCATTCGTCATAATTATCACTCTCTATGGTTATCTATGTTACTTTCTGAACTTTAAATGATCATTCTGTATAACGATTAACTCGCCCGAGTGCTCAATTTGTGATTTACACTTAATTCATTGCTCAGCTTTTCCTTGTTGTACATACATTGTGTACTTTATACCATGGAGGAATAATGTGCCTGTAGCTAGTGTGTATTGTTTTCTATAGAGCATTATGACCTTCGTGTTTGAGGTTATACCATACATTATGCAGCCGTGTGGTTGCGACTCAAAGGGCGATTTCTAAAGGTCACGTAACACTTTATTTCGAATGAAACTACATGTACACAAACATGTTCACCCAGGTGGGCGAAATTTTTGAAAATTAATATTCCCGTTTGGCAGACCGCATCTTCATGCATCTGTCAGGGTTTATTTCCCTTAAAATGATCCAAGTATGTGCTAAAATCGTTGTGATATTATGTTCATTACTTTTCGTTGAAATTGGAAAAATAGGCCTGGCTACGTGCATTTTTGAAAGTTGTTACATATGGCGTTTGCAACATCTGTCAATCTTTTCAAGCCTCACGAATATTAATAAGGTTCCTATCCATTATGGTGTGCAGTAAAAACTTGGAGAAAAGCCTCCTTCACGATTTATTAATTGATAAATCACAATTGCCAAGTCACATCGAGTGACGCTAATGAATATGCATTCGTCATTGTGTTGCCGGGCCGCAATCGGTCAACCATATAGCGCCTACGGTGCTTTGCTGAACCATGCAGATGGATTGGGGGCAAAAAATTCTTGTCGAAATTGACCTTGGAGATAGTTCAAGGTGTAACACTAGCATTTGCAACAACCGTGACAGATTAAGCTAAAATTCAGAATATACTTAGATGATATATAAGTGTCCAACTACTCGTGAAATAACAACTTGGAGAAATTCCTAGAAATCGACATAAATACACAGATTTTGGGATGTTTTCGAACAATTTCTTCCCGACTTTAAGGCCAGCTTTACCAGTAACCAGTATTGACGTTTTGGCATTGATAACAACGATTTTTTTACTGACATGAAGTTAAGAATTTCTTCTTCCGTTATACTTTAACATTTCAATCATACTGAGTGAATTTTCTAAGAAACACAACTTTCAAAAAGGCCATTTTTTTGGGGGGGGGGGGGAGTGGGCACATGAATTTCATTGCTCAGTTATAGCATCCGAGTACATAATCGGATTAGCTTTGGTTATCAACGGCAGACGCTTTGCCTTCACAACCATAGAGCTGACATGTTTATTCCAAGACTCATTGGTCATTTGACAATGAAGGTTCTCAGTACAGCAAAAGTTGCTAGATCATTATTCTAAGGTAATATTACTTATTCACAGTCATTTGAGAATCAAGGAAAACAAGATGCATACTATTCCTGTGTGTACTATACCCGTGCGACAGTTCCACGATTAATTTGTGAAGCGATTTGCATAGTAGGCTGTCGCACGTACAGTTCATAGATATGGAATAATTTATTCTATATCTATGGTACCAGTAGTCTACTATGCCTGCGTGTGAACACTCGCGCACACACATGGTAAACAGCAAAAATAGCATCTGGGATGTGATGGTGAATGAACCAGTGAGAATTTGGCTCTCAATCAGTAATATGTATCAGGTACAGTAATATCCCAAAACGTGCAAAGATGGTATCCCCAAACCCCAATAGTCATTTCCTTCGCCTCTGCCAAATTTGTATTGAGGAAGTTGAGTTTGAGAAAGAGCTCCAGCGATGAGCGGGTTCTTCCAGCAATGGGGATACACAGCTTCTGTTACAGATACATTTTTGTCCATTTGTTCTACCAGCAGTACATCACAAGCCAAAATTGTCCTGATAAAGATGCATCACACTGAAAGCTTGGCAATCGCTATCCGGTGAGCACTGTTTTAATTTTGTTTTTTTTACATTCTTTTATCATTTTATGTATATATAGAGAGAGCAACAGAGAGTACGAGAGTATTGCCCACCTTGCAATATTCTGCAATAAGAGTTTAGGTGATCCATAAAGTGTACCATTTTCTGTGACGAGTACAACTCAAAATCAATATTTATTAAATTTCAAAGCTCCCTTCACAATAACATTTATACAAATTTTAACAATTTGTAACCATCAAACAAATTGTGCGGAAATTTAAGATTTTTTTGTTGTTGAAAACTCTGCTGAGTAGTAACATGGTACCTTTCAAAACAAATTCGGCAAAACATTTCTACTTCACGACTGTTCACAATCAGCACAAAAGTGGGTGCTAATGTGAATTTGTTACATCACAAATAATTCGTCGTAGAGCTGACATACCGACAAATAAGCGAAAACCCTGTTTCGAGTAATTTGCGTTTGAAGTTGGACATTTTTCTGGGCGTCGTATTTTATCCTTAACGTTTTGATAATTACTGTTTTTGTGTACACTCGAAATAAAATAGGAAACGTAGTATCCATCAGGTAACTTATTTAATCAGAGAAGTTGTGTGATTTGTTTTTATTTGATTGTAAACGTATTCGTCCGTTTGTCAAATTACAAAATCTCTAATAGCCAGTTGTTTTTCACAGTTTGTATGCTATTCGTCAGTTTGTCGGATTGCGCACACATGTGCGCCGTGCCGCAATCCGACAAACAACATTCGTTGGTACTTTGAACGTACACCTTGCATTAGCTGGTTACCAGCAAAATTCCGTATTCGTCACTATGTCAAAATGTGACTGATTCGCCACAGGCGGGGCTCCGAATCTCCAAATACAGACAAGAATTCAGAATTTTGGCACAAATACTTTAATAAAGGAGCAACCTTTAAACACCTCAAAAATAACAAAATCTCAAAATTCGCCAAAATGGTTGATTTGCCGGTACCGTATGTTAGCTCTGTGACAAAATGTAGAGCAAGTGGTTTACAGTTGAACAAACTGGAACTCCAGCAAACTCAAGGAAGTCAAAGCATTTAGGATAATGTGGGAAAGTACCTCAACATCAAGGAGTAATCTTGTGAATTAGAAAAAGAATTAAGTTTAAAATAGAATGCTTAATTTCAAATTGTTATTAATGTTACCCTAACTTAAACCAAAACACCTACTCATCATAACAAAGAGATGACATCGCAAATCACCAGTTTATTGGTGATTTGCACTGTCATTTCTTTGTAACAGCGGTAAATCCTTGTTCACTGTAACAACTAAGTGCTGGTAGGTCTGTTGTACCATCTGATGTCACTCTCTTGGCTGGATATCATGAAAAAGCTCTGTCATTTTGTCGATAGTTGATGACAACAAGCCATACACCTGCCATTAAAATCACAATGCAATAAGAAATTTGGTAAAATGTTAACAAAAAGCAAAATTAATAAAGTATACTAAAGTATATGGCAGGTATTTTGAAATGTATTTTGGACGAGAGAAGAAACTCTTGACAACCATAACATAAATCAAGTCCTTTAACATTCATCTGATCTTATCAACCTCAGCATATAAGCTTCTTTGATAACCAATTCAAGAAGAGTGTAAAAAAATGTCACTTTATTAACAGCAAAGACAAAGTGTTGCTAAAACCTTTGAAATTCAAGGAAAATTCACTGAAATTCAAATTATTGAAAAGTTCTCAAACTGGAAATTTGTTACACATTTGAAAACAAAATCTTATTTTTTTAAAAATAATTCATTTATTGTGACCTTTGCCAAAGTGAAACAAACACACCTTTGATGTCCCTTTGTATTTGGGTTACCTTTTTTTCGGGACATCTTGTACATTAATGCTGACATGAGCTTTCCAACCCGACCAGTGTTGTTGGCTATCACCCTTTGGTTTTGTCTTCATTCTAGTTTTTCCCCACTTTTTTTCCCATAGGATAACATGTGTTTTCGTTCTACACAGCACTTTGGGACTTTTTTCACATCCGACTGACTTCAAACCTGGCACACATTTAGACCACCATTTGACGATTCAGGCCAAATCAAAATGATGTCATCGAAAACGTGAATTTTTTTATTCACGTACAAGGGTGTGTCTGATCGTTATGATATAATTATTATCATATTGATATAAGCATTCAAAATCTGAAGTGACCCCATCATGACGTCATCATCTGATTCTTTATTATTTCAACATTTTTTAATATATTCTTCCAATTAATTACCAAAATTACATAAAAAAAAAAGATCCGATCGACTTTAAACCTGGCAAACATTTTGACCATCATCTGAAGATTCAGGATGAATCATGACATCATAATAATGTCATCACGTTTCACGTGACGTCATCTAAAATGTGCATATTTTAAGGCCCTACCAGTATATCTACAGAACCGGAAGTCCGATCGGGTTCAAACTCGGTATGCAGGTATTGCGAGATGTGTTATAGACAAAAATTGCAGTGACGTCATGATGACGTCATCATGTGATTTTACATGAATTATTCAATTTTTGGACCTTTAAGTCAAATCTCATCAATGGAACTTGCTCAATTCAAAGTTCTTTTTCTAATAGGTTTGTTAGGTCATAGATAGATAAAGAAAATTTTGAAAAATGTGATGTCATCATGATGTCATCAAAAACGCGATTTTTTGAAACACATATAGGTATGTCTGATCGTTATGGACTTGGTGGGTTGGTAGTTGATTTTTTATGAATTTTAATTTTTTTTTAACATTTCCTTTATTTCTTCTAATGCACATCAGTGTAAATGTAAGCCTAGATTCGATTTGGATGAAACTTCTACGTGGCAGTGGTTACCAAACATTCCAAACATTTCTAGTTTCTTTTTCCAGTTTTTCCATAGGTTTTGTACACGTTTTTATTCTACAGGCAACTTTGGGAACTTTTAAAAATACGATCACCTTTAAACTGCGCACAGTCATTAACCATCATCTGAAGATGTATGCCGAACAGTTTTGTCATCGTGATGTCATTAGGGGTCACGTGACATCAATTGGAATGTTCATTTTTTACAGTCTATAACTACAGAACTAATGGGCCGATTGATTGATCTCAAATCCGGTATAGACAGGGAAGTGTTATAGATGAAAATATATGTAAAATATAAGGTCCTGTGACCCTAACTTCTGGTATCACTGGAATTGCAATTTGAAGCTCTAGTTGCCATATCTAATGCATTATAAATATGATGGGGCGATACCTGGTAATAGTATGAAGCAACATTCAAAGATTATTATAATGCATTATTATTACTGTACAGTTTATTATTCTAATATTAAGACTTCGTGAATATTTAATGAGGCAATTTTTTGGACACTAGATTTCAACAATCAATGCAATAAGTTATGATTCTAGTTCTTTGCACACTCATATTGGACTGAAAATGCACTTCCTGGAATGTCAAGGTCATGTGACCCTTACTTCCAGTTGTACCGGAAGTGCAATTATTAAGGGAATAAATGTGTGCTCCGGAGGTTTTTATCACTCTGTTTAATACCACTTAGAGTCTGGGTGCTGATAATTACCCGAGCCGGAGGCGAGGGTAATTATCAGCACCCAGACTCTAAGTGGTATTAAACAGAGTGATAAATACCGACGGAGTACATATTTATTCCCATTCATAAATACCTTTTCGGTAAAAAAAAATCATATAATTCGTGCAAAACATCCCGATTTTGTTCAACAAATTCACTTTATGCTTTTTGAATCATCCCTCCTGCAAAATAATGGAGTGTTCAGCTGGCGAGTAAGATGAAAACAACCCTTTTATGGAGATTGACGCGCGCGTATCATGTTCTATGCGATGTCGCGCAGAACGCACCTGGCGCGTTGCGTTTTGAATTTAGAACTATAAAATTCTAACTCCCTGGTAGTGTTGCGCATGCCTACGTGAGGATTGTGAACGTTCAACCAATTAAACGATAAGAGGCACTGGATTTTTAGGAGTCCACATTTTATTGTGACACTGGAAAAGTGTTTAAGACCAGCTAGCCATGTCTTTATCATCCGTTTAATACCGGCCACGTGACGGGCTCTCGACCAATAGGAATGGCTAAACTGTCTGAGGTATTTATGAATAAAGATTATAATTTCAATTGTAATACATGTCATTAAGAAATTTTGGAAAAATCATTACATCATTTTGTACTGTCAATCAAAAACATTCTCTAGTTTTCACTTTGTCTTTAGTAAACATTTTAGTAATTTGTGCCATAACTTCATCCCTATTTTGACAATGGTTGAATTTTACAGATCATTTTAAGAATTATTCTGCTAATTCAAGGGAAATTTTTACCTGGATATACATTTTGTTTCTGTACTTAGCATCAAGATGTGGATCCCCTGATTCTGATGGTGGTGTTAGACTTCGTACAGGTGCATGTATTTGTTTCTTCTCTGCTCCTCTTTTTGGTTCACGGGTGGCAGGTGGACTTGTTGCAGAACGACTCTTGGTTTTGCCACCTTTGCTTTTTGGCCTGTCTCTTTCTTTTTCCTAATGGGAATATACAGCAAAATCATTATCAATGCATTGAAAGTTCAAAGCACACAAAAGAAGAATTTCAGTAAACAGCGGTTATTCACAAAAGATTGTGATCAATATAGTTAGTCCACCCCTAAACAGCTTTAGAAACATTTCTACAGTCAGGGGTTATCCTTCGTGGATTCAAAGAGTTATTCAGCAATCATGCCAAGCTTGGAATCATATTAATCCTCCGTCTGCTCCAAATCAGTGTCAGCATCAGGATGACTCAGAATATTTTCACAGCTCCTCCTCCAAATTGCAAACTAGCTTTCGAGCTGGAAATGAGCAACTTGCATTTTGTTCATGGAACTGGATTGAACATGTACATATACATCAAATTACCTCTACAACAGAGTGTGTGGCTTGGGAATTTTGATAACATTGGGCTCAAGCAAATATCATCCCTCGACCAGCCCAGCTTGAGTGTATCCAGAGTAACAGGAGGATTAAAGTAGACGTGTTGATTGTCTACGGACAATGCAACTGGCTTTTCTGCCTTTCCAGAAGTTTGAGTTTATACTTTGTTTGTCCATGCAGAATCATGTTTAAAAATGTTCAGTGTCATGCATAACTAGAAATGTGTTTGTGGACAAACACTGAGCTGTTTCGACCACTTTAGCAATAACTGCCGTAAAGGAGTTTCAGCCAAGTCGAATGAACATGTACATGAGCATTTTATACATGGTGGTCTAAGTATCGATCCGATGTAAAAAAAACCAACATTTTTCATGATATCATGGTGACATTACACATTTTTTGAAATCTTCTGTATCTATCTACGACCTAACAAGCCTTTTGCAAACAGAATTTCGAATTCAACACCTTCCATTGATGAGATATGAGGAAAAGGTCCAAAACTTTAATAATTCAAATAAAATAACATGATGACATCATCATGAAGTCATCGTGACGTCACCGAGTTTGAACCCGATCGGACCTCTGGTTCTGTAGATATAGGGACTTAAACTATGCAATTTTAGGATGATGTCACTTGACATGTGATGACGTCATGATGACGTTATTATTCGGCCTGAATCTTTAGATGGTGGGGTCTAAGTGTGTGCCAGGTTTGAAGTCGATCGAGCTATTTTATGTAATTTTTGCTAATTAGAAGAAAATGTTAAAATTTTTAAAATGAATAAAAAATCAGATGATGACGTCATGATGACGTCACTTCAGATTTTGAATGCTTGTATCAATGCCTACCTACCCACCAAGTTTCATAACCATCGGACATACCCTTATATGTGAATACAAATTCAGGTTTTTGATGACGTCATGACGATGTCACACATTTTACGAAATTTGGTGCATCTATCTATGACCTAACCAACCTTTTACAAAAAGAATTTCGAATTTACCACATTCCGTTGATGAGATATGAGTAAAAGGTCAAAAAATGACTAATTTATATAAAATCACACGATGTCGTCATTGTGACGTCACTGCTTTTTTGTCTATAACATGTCCCGGAATACCTGCATACCAAGTTTGAAGCTGATTGGACTTCTGGTTCTGTAGATATAGGGCCTTAAAATATGCACTTTTCGGATGACATACGTGACACGTGATGACGTCACGATGGCGCCATGATTCGGCCCTTAATATTCAGATGGTGGTCTAAGTGTGTGCCAGGTTTAAAGTTGATCGGATGTAAAAAAAAAAGGCCCAAAGTCCTGTGTAGAACGAAAACACGTGTTATCCTATGGGAAAAAAAGTGGAAAAAAAAAAAAAAAAAAAAAAAAAAAGACAGACAGAGAAAAAATAACAAAAACAAGAGCTGTTTCGGTGTGTGCACCGAAACAGCTAAATATCTGTGACTTTAATTATCAGAAATACTTTTTCATAAAAAAAAATGAACACAAATGTTACATGTGTTTGGAAGATTGTAAATTTTAAGCTAAAATGTGTCAATCGAAAAATCGTTAAAAAGATGGACTTTTTTTAAAAATTAAACCTCATCCTACATTTTATTCTCTATCCATTGACTGATTGATCTGTCATGGTTGCCTGCTATTACTCAAAAATGCCGACCAAAGCATAATATTCCACTCTGGCTGGTCCACTGTTAAAAGTGGTATTAGCCTATTTATGATTCTTGCTCGTTTAATTTTTTTTAACTCCGATTGACCTCTCACACGGTTGGTGGCCATATTGGATTTTGCCAATATGGCGGCCCCGTGGCCGTCCATCTTGGTGCCCGTCAAAAATCAAAATAGGATGTTGTGGATGACATCTGGGCCAAATTTGGTGCTTTTGGAAGAATCTGAACCATGTAAACAGCCCCTGTAATGCCTGCCCTAATCATCCCTATACTACTCATAGTATCATGAACAATAATGTTAATTTACTGAAACATGCATAAACTATACAGCTTAGACAAAGAGTTGCTGTGGATGAAATATTTTATGAGGAAATGCTCTGGGCATTGGACCTAATTATAAGCTGTGATCCCATTGGACTTATTTTCCGCTATCACAGGGAATCTTGCCGCGACATTCCTTCGCATTGTGTGCCATGTGATCCCACTTGGACTTTTTTTAACACCGACGGAACCTTTGACCCAAGGCCCCCCAAAAAAGTCTCTGGTTTCTAGTCTGGAGCTTGCCCCAAAAGTGGTGCGGCGACGCGTTTTTTTTTTTACCCTACTTTTTTTCTCTTCAAATGTCGGCTTATGTTGCAGATGAAGCTTTGATCACCTTAAAACTCTCAAAAATATCTTTCAGAGTGGAGATTGAGGTGACCTCAGTAAGGCCACAATTGGCTTGAGAAGTTGAGAAGTCTGCACTCACTTACGATCTTGACCGACACCATTTTTCGGGAAATTTGGAGTCGTCAAGACAAAAATCCGGGAAAACCATAACGTCAGACCATACAGCGACATCGACATCGTGCATGAGCTGCCAGGCTGGTCATTAGTCTGCTCCCTTACGTATTGCGCTAATTTAAAAGCGTTTACAGGTTCCAGAAACAAGAGAGAGAATGAAAGTCCATTTTTAGGTTCCTGGACTCATCAACTAAAAGTTAGCAATATTTAAAACCAAGAAGAGTGTATCAAGGGCAAGGTTTTGATTCTTTTTTTTTTAAGGAGGGAAATTGTTGGTAGAACGACAATAAAGACCACAACATGAAAATAAAGATGGCACTCATCGCGACACACTGTGAATTCACGATGCGTGTTGATTTGCATAACATCAGGTTGTTCAACTGAAAAGTTTGAAAGAAATTTGCAGTTTCTATGGAAAGATTCTGTTTAAAATTGCAAAATTAGGGTCAGCAGAATTAAAAGAAGATTAACTAAGGGCAATTCCACGGTTTGATGGACATGGCTAGGAAAAAAAAGTTTTCTTTTTGAACCCAGTTTCACATTTTTATTACAGAGTATACATTCAAGTACAGGGTGAGTCAAAAAAAGCGGAACCCAAACCCAAAAAATTATATTTCATATTACTGAAATTGGTCAATCCGTTAAAAAAATATCACCATTCAAACACAATGACCCTAAAACCTGTCTCGTCCCAAAAATGCGATTTCAACAATCGTCGACACAATTGTCTTCAAACATCACCAGCGATGAAATCTTAGTTTAAACGTTAACAATATGCAACGAAGTCCTTTTAAAGGCCCGTCTTTTAAAAAAGTAGATTGTATAAATCATATTGTTTGCCTAGTTGTTGTTAATCAAAAAATTGTGTGCTACAGTTGGTGACAGTTGTTGAAACAAGTATTCTGTGTCATTTTCTTTGTTGTTCCAAACAGTCAAAACACACAATAAATTGATTTTTTTGGACGAGACAGGTTTTAGGGTCATTGCGTTTAAATGGTCGTATTCTTTGAACGGATTGAGCAATTTCAGTAATTATTTCATCTAAAAGTAGCTTTTGAAATTGGCTTTCCATTCATTATTATTTTTGGTGCTTCATATTTTTTTAAATATGAAATACATTTTTTTGGTGTTTGGGTTCCGCTTTTTTTGACTCACCCTGTATATGAAATTAACAAAGAAAACCCTCTTTTATCAAATTTTGTTTGAGAAATAGTGTCGTAAAGTGAAAAATAAATTTTTACTACGAAGAACTCTCAAAATTTGGTAAAGTTTCAACCTCGATTGCTATAAATGCAATTAAAGATATTTAAATCATAACCTTATTTCTAGCATACATGTATGGTAGTCCTAATGTCATTTTCAGCCGTCATCCATTTTTAAATATCAAAAAGTAGGGTTTCATACCTTTTTTTGGTAAATGTAATGTGAGACAGAAAAGATATTAAAGTTTTTTCTCACCAACATTTCTGATGAATTAAATGTTGGTTTTTAGGATTTTCCTACTTCACATGAACATTGATATAAATGTAAGTGTTTTGTTGATACTAATACGCACATTTTAGATAAAAGGCAACTAAATTTGGTAACGTGAGTAACTTTTGTAACTTGCGTAACCAAAAATGTACTGTGAGCGACCAAGGTTTTTATCCCAAGTCACCCAAACTATACCCAAATTGACTTTTGCTTGATAATGTTGATTTTATTGACAACTGTTTACCTGAACCCAAAGCACCTCAAGCGATAAAGATACTTTTAAGCATACATGTATTTTGTGCAGTTTATGGTGCAAAATGGTCTTTGAGACAGAACTTTTTATATTTGAATCCAGGTCAAGTTTTTATGTTGTTGAGTTTAATAAGGAAAACACATGTACGTCCCTATACATTGAAATTAAAATGTTTATTTGGATCAAAACTAAAATTTGAATTACATGCAGAAACTCCATGCTAAGCCATCCGGTACAATGGCACTGGTATACCCTAGAACCAAACTCTCCACATCATGGTCTCTGATATTGTGGCCTTTCCATGGGCCCTATATTCTGTTCTACCATAATAATCCTTTTCACACTATGAACGTCCGATCCGTGTCGAAATCTACACGGTCGACTTCTAAAAATTTCAACACGGTTCAATTTCGCTAC